TTCGTTTTTTTTTTTTTCACCTTTCCGCCTCGATTTCTTTTTCCGCCTGTTAGCTCACTCGTTAGTTAACGAGTTTAACGGATGAGTTACACCCGCCAACTCACTGACTACCGAATTTAACAAAGTATTAGCCGGTCGTCGATCTTTGCATCTCAGCCGCCTTTCCGCCTCAATATCCACCTTTATTCACATTTAATACAGAAAGAAAAAGAAAAAGAAAATAAATAAGTCAGTGGGCATCTGAGATGAGGAACTCAGGCGGCCATACTCCGTATCTGATGCAGCTGCTGAGACTTGGCTTTTTGTTGCGCCAGGGCAGGCTACCTCGGGAGAGAGTGAACGAATCAGTGGCATTCACACGGAGTAAGCTCTTTCTCATAAATAATTGTTAGTGGTTTTGCGAGCCAGCTAGCCCCTGGGATGTCCATGCGGTTACCCGTTCCCAAGACCAAACTCGCGAACTAGCCAAACTCAGGGACGGGAGGGCCCAGCAAGGGGGGCTGCGATTATGGATTATGGTGGCCCGAAAGACATAACTACATCTGCAGGGATAACTAGTCCGTATTCTGCATGGAAAATAAGTGACAGTTGGGCAACCAAGGGCCGCCATGAGAGACAGAATCAGGGGTACATCACGGAGTAAGCAAGAGGAGAATCGGGAATCGACTTGTAACGAAAAGGCTACACAGAAAGGAGGCAAAGGAGTTGCCATGCGCTCTGTCATGCCGCTTGGGAAAAACGGAGTACTGAACACGAGGTTATCTGATGTGGATGTGATCTCTGGGGCATTCTTGACATCTCTGATCTACACGGGAGAACACACGTTTGTTCAAACCCAGGCTGCAGATAACCTGGTCCCACCCCCTGTCGGGGAGCAGCATCTGACGGAAAAGCCCCGGGTCCCTTACAATAATAGCGAGGAGGAGGATCAGAAATTACTTGCCGATATGCATCCGATGGCCTGCTGCGTTGAAGGCGAGGTGTCTCCGCTGGAAAGAAAGGCCTGGGCTCCACCGCTCCATCTCAGCCTTCATAGATGGAGCAACGAAGGACGATCACAACGACGCCCCGTCAAAGCAACAGAGCCGGAACCAACGCCACGACAGTATTGATCTTCAACATCTCAACAACCCCTCTACTCAGGAGAAGGTGACTTGTGGCGTAAAATGCTCAAAATTTGGGATGGTCTTGAGAACGGGCTGATGCATTTTCACAGTCTTGTGCAGAGGACTCCCCTTTTTCGAAACAACTTCTTTTGAGTGGAAACAGATATCACCACGTACGGATATATAGGATAATGAATTTTAAGCGTAATAGTAACTGCAATAATACGATGAGATCAGTCATATCATTTTGTTTAGGCCGTCAGGCTCAGTTAATAACGAGATACCTAACTACGGAGAACTTGCCGGTCAGGAAGAAAGATCTTCAATCAGTGCAATGATTGCTTGCTATAAATAAGTCTTATTCTTCCCTTGATATCAGGCTACAGCCTGTCAAAAAGATCAGTTTATACGAACTCTTTCTCTCCCAAAGGAGAAAAAAATTGAGTATTTTGGCCTTTCAATTTAGCCGTTCACGGCGGTGTTGACGGAGATGGCAACTGCTGGAGTTGGCCCTGATGGAGTGGCCCAGCCCCATTCCTCTGGAATCAAAGTTATCATTGTCGGCCTCGGAGTGGCTGGGCTCACAGCAGCAGTAGAATGCCACCGTAAGGGGCACACTGTAATTGCCTTTGAGAAGGTGAAGGAAATGAAGCCTTTAGGTTGGTTCTCTGGCCACTGTTCGCGCTTCAGTCAATGGGGGCCATTTCACTAACAAGAGAGATACCAGGGGATGGAATCGGCCTTGCATCCAATGCTGCCCGTGTCATTTCGAAATGGGGCGGCGGCAGCATCCAAGAGACTCTGGAATCATTCACCTCAGTGATGAATCCGTCTGCTATCTATGACGAATCAGGCACGCTGAAGGCAAGGGCGCCAATACCAGGTTACGGTAAAGGTGAAGGGTACCTCTTGCATAGGGGAGACCTGGCATTGACCCAATTTGATCATGTAAAGAGTCTGGGTATCGATGTGCGCATGGGGGTATACGTCACGGAGTATTGGGAGACAGAGACGGCTGCAGGCGTGATTGTGGACGGAGAAAGAATAGAAGCCGACTGCGTCATCGCTAGTGATGGAGTGCATAGTCAGGCAAGGGGCCCGATCACTGGCCAGTCTCCTCGTATCCGGGCCTCTGGAAGAGCCATTTACCGGGCTTGGTTTGATGCTTCGGCGCTGGAGGGCGCTCCAGCGGCCAGCTGGATATTCGAGCCCAGGACTGAGGGTGCCGACAACGCCCATATATTCCTGGCGCAGGACGTTGTATGCATCATGAGTACGTCCCGTAACAGCAAAGCCATTACTTTGTCATGCATTCATTCGGTAAGAGTCAACCCAGCTCTCTCTCCTCAAACTCATCCATCCCCGTCTAGCCAGCTGATCATTCGTCCGCCGCTGCCATAAGGATTCTCGTGGGCCTACCGAGCGTTTCTACTATCCAGCAGAAGTTGATGATGTACTTGAATACATCAAGGACTGGCCTGCGAAGCCCAAGATCGAGGCTGTGATGCGAAGGATTCCATCTGGTAACCTTATTGATTATCCGCTATTAACAGGAGACCCAATTGAGAATTGCGTGTCCAAGGGTGGAAGAATGACTCTCATTGGCGATGCTACTCACCCATATCTACCTACTTCTGGCCAAGGTGCCTGCCAGGCCATCGAAGACGGAGCAGTTGTTGCGATAGCTCTGGAGCTTGCCGGGAAAGACAATGTGCCTCTGGCTCTAGAGGTCACCAAAAGAATGAGGTACATAGCATTACTGGAAGCCATAATCATAACTGCACTACTGACGAATGTATAGGGCTCAAAGAACCGCTGAGATCCATAAGCTGGGTTTATCCGCGCTTGAATCACTTGTCAACCCTGATTGGAGCGAGTCTGAAAAGAACTCTAAGCTCTTATCGATGCCAAACCCTGGGTGGGTTTTGAACCATGACTGCCAAAAGTATGCCTACGAGGAGTACAGCAAAGTGGTTGCATCCATCAAGGACGGGACTGAGTACAAGCCCCTGAATACACCTGCAGCACAAGTGTCAAACTAGTTAAAACTAGAAAGATCCAATAGTTAATATCTAGCTAAATTATAACACTTCAAGTCATATTCCTGCAAACAGTACTCAAAAGGCCTTACCAAATCTTTTCTTGCTTGGCTAACGAATTTGCCCACTATTTCAACGATTTTACCCTGGATGCTCCTAGTCTAAATAGAAATTTCCAACTAGTTCAGTGAGAAATAAAAGAGCATTAAACATTTTCAAAATAATACCATCAGATATCCTCAGCACCCACACTGCCTGGTTCATTTCTGCTCATCCTCCAGCTTCCACATGTATTCAGACGAACTGTGATAATACACAGTGATGTATACACCGTTTTTCTCGGTGAAGGCAAAGGAAAGCCAAGAAATTACGCATGAGGTTCGGCTAAGATCCAGGTTGGGGCTGTTAAACGGGTTAAGTTAGTCATGTGTGCAACAGTTGAGGAGTAGGGAGATGGCACATACTATAGGGCTTGCAACTTATCAACATAAGTCTCGGCAAGCTCTGTCCATCCAATTTGAGCAAAAAAGTCACAAAGGCCCTTAGCAATCTGGAGATCGTTTTCGCCGTGGGTTGGGAGGTAGACTTTTGAGACTGGATGGGGGCTACCGGGCGTGATCTCATAGTTTATAAGGACGGGAGCTTTCTGGCCCTTGGAGGGAACCTGCATTGGGTCATCAAAATATGGTACCAGTTCCCGCACTCCTTCCGCAATCCCCGTTGCTTTCCATAGCTTAGAGAGCAGCTCAAAACCTTCGAGGGTAACTGGATCATTTACACGGCCACCTAGCGTGTATAGATCCTTAATCATACCCATCGTCACATCTGCGCTGCCGAGGTACATCTTGAGCCGGGATTTGGATGGTGCAACGCAATCCCAAGCGAGGAACCCAATGTTAGACCCAAGGTTGTTGGCCAGGATGTATTCCTTCAACAGCCCAAGCGCCGCCGAACAATCATTTTTCTTCTCAAAGTACTGCAGGCTCTCAAAAACCAAGGTCTCGATAGGGACGCCGTTCGCGGTCGCTTTAGCACGTGGATAGACGTACCCCTTCACTGATATTTGGCCGTCATCCGACAAATCAAAGCCCGGTGCCATTTGAGTCTTGAATACACTGACATCAATGTTGTTCTCAGCAATATGACGCTGCTCGTTTTTGCTGACTGTTAAGCAACTCGAGAAATAGTCCCATAGCTCGGTGTCGAAGTTGCAAAAGTCATAGTTAGCGATCTTTGCCATCAGCTCCTTCGTTGGAACTTGATTGAATGGATCAATAGGCAAACCGGATAGGTGGGTGCATGGCTCCACGCTGATTCGAACGGCTGACTGGCCCTGTTTCCTATAGTTGACGCTCAACTCGACAGGGACACCGCTACGCGTGATAGTACTTCGCCAGGTCCTTTGGGGAGGGGTATACGGCCCAAGAGATGGAACGAGGACTTGAGATAAAAGTAGCAGGTATTGATATTGCGATTCATTGCTGTAACCCGAGTGTTGGAGGACTCTCTCGGTCATCGGGGCAACATCGTGCCACCAAGATGCTTGATCAAGGTTCTCAAATTGGGTCACCTTGCTGATGACGCTGTAAGGGGATGGCGCAGCGCCTGGCTTTTTATCCATTGTGACCGTCGTCATGTCGATTTGGTAATCAGGAGATATAAGAGGCCAACGAAAGTGGATGGATGTAGCGGGCTTGGAGTAGGTTGGGATAGGGGCGAGATTGGCTTGTCCACAGGTCGCATCAGACGGCACCCGGTATATATATAGATGATTGGTAGCATGTTTAACATACGCCGCTTGTCGGTAACGAAACAATTTTCAGCTCCTTTGGGTGAGATGCGCCATAATGCGAAGGCCAGACAGCGCCCAGTGGCTACCGCACTTTTGGGCAGCCTGACAGGCGCCTGTCGTTGCCACCGAGCATGGAGTAAACATAAACTACTTAAACTTTGATAGCGCCCAAACGCTAACTTCTCTATCCACGTCTCTCACACAGTCCTTTGGCTAACCAGGGGCCAAGTCAGAGTATGATTCTAGGTTAGAATTCAACTACCCGGGTGGGTAAAACATAACTCTAACTATCTGGAGTAGTTAAATATTACATGTCTCCATAGTTAAGCCGTACATGCCCGTCGATCAGGGAGAAAAAGAAAAAAATGTGGAAGACATTTGCTCTTTCAGTACTCGGTAGTTACTCTGTGCATGATACAAGTCCAATTTTAAAGTAACTTATGTGGTTGGAAAAGTCCCCGAGAAAAATTGTGTCCCCTAACTAGCCAGTTACACTTCAGTGACCAAAAATATACCCTGATACAGCTGAGGAAGACAGGGAGGACTCCGTATCAACTTCGTATAGCCTTGTGCTGACATCTGGGCAAGCAACTGATTGTTATTGGCCTAGGTCATTATCTTACTCCGGTTACCCGATTATTCCGTACTGAATATGACATGGAAACAGATGTATTACTCTGGTCTCCCCTCAAAAAATTAAAAATATGCAAATAGCGCTGCCGCTGCTAAATTACGAGTATCTAACAAGGGGGAAAGACTGCCAGGGTACACAGTTCTCGGCCACCAATCATTGGCCATGCTCCATGCAACGTAGTATATTGGCGTGGAGCCGGCAAATGATTTCTGGCAAGGGACTATATGTACACATATTGATTTTGAATATTCCTTGGCAAGGTTGCAGTAACCAGGTGGCTGGCTTGATACATGAGCCATGAGTGTACGAAATCAGACCTGGCCAGTGCCCAGGAGGTCAAAGTGGTCTATGACGGCTGCTTGTGATCCATGACAACTCTACCAAAAGCCCATCTCCCACGAATGTTATTGGACAATATCAAAGATTCCTCTTGAAAACATTTCAGCAATTAATGATTCATTCTTTCTCATTGATAAATTCACTAGTTAATATGAGTTGTGAGCGAATCTTTTTTTTTTTTTTTTTTTATTTTATTTTAATTAACAAGCCAGGTAGCGCTCGCTCTGCTCGCTATAAGAGAAAAAGGAATATTCACTACTTCCCATTGGATTACTGGATTATTTTATTATAATAGGGTGAAGGGTGATTAGGGGAGGTGATAGTTATATATTGACGACAACATCCTGTAGCAGTGTGCCAGGCGGTTGGTCATGGCAAGATTCTTGTTGATGTTATCTAGATACTACTTGGATGACTTAACTAATGCTGTTGTGTGCCAATTACACCGAGTTCCTAGAGCGTAAAATCTCCTGCATTAGAAAATCATCATAAGCAAGCTCTTCAGCTGTAGGCCTTTCCTCGGGAAGCCAGCGTAGCACTCGTCTCAGAAACCCCAGAAAAAGTTCCCTATCTTCACCGGAGAATCGCGACTCCCTTATCTCAAACGATTGTTTTGGTATAGGTATAGAACCTTTCCAGTTTCCTGAAAATTAGGCATTAGAGGTGACCAAAAATATTATACGAGAGGCTTACCTTGGCTGTCCCAGTACTCGTTAGACTTTTGACTTCTTCTCAGAAACTGAGCAGGAGGAGGTCCCATTAAAGAGACCATTTCCGCCAGGTGCTGCTCATCATTCAGGACTCTATTCTTTTTTGCAAAAAAAAGATGACTGCTTTCTGCCAAATCCCAGATCTATGACTGTCAAATTTCAACCCACAGGTTAATAGCCGGTACAGATTAGACATACCATAGTGCCCATTGACCATATATCAACCTTGGAATCCCATTCCATGCCCAAAATCACTTCTGGTGCGCGATGAATGCCTGGCATAATATCGCCCCTATGATTTTGGGGTCCAATTCTTGCCTCGCCTAAATCAGAAAGGACTGGCAACCCAGTAGCAGTAGGCATTGGTCGAGAATAGTAGACGTGGCGATCATCCAACACTTTTCTGGCAACTGGTTGCCTTTTTTCATCTTCCTCGAGTTGAGCTAGCATGGAAGTGTCCTCAATTCCTTGTAGCAAGTTGTTCGATGAAATATCTATCACCCGTATTAGTACCTAGCATCTCATGAACTAGTGGTATTACAGACCAGTGTGGATAACGTTGTTTTCATGCATGAAAGCTAGGGATATGAGGGTGAGCTGCACGCTTCTCTGAATGAAAGCCTTTGGCAGCTCTTTACCATCAGACATGCTCTGGAATTCAGTAAAACTCATCCCCAAAGGCTTGTATATCAGGCAAGTATGTTTTCCGTGAGGCCCATCAAGCTCAAAGGAATCAAGAACTAGTCGGACCAGCTTCTTTCCGAAATGATCACCAGAATTGTTCAAGTGCTCTGACACGGCGAGTTCACGATCAGGCCTTCGTCCACGGGTACATACTTTCAGTGTGTAGTATTGATGGCTTCTGTATCCAATTAGATATCAAAACGCAATTGGTCAGTAACGTCTAGACATGGAGTCATACTGAACGTCACGGCAAAGCCATATTGTTGAAGTTGAACCAAATCCTAATTTGGCAACGATCCGATATTTTGACGCAAGCACATCTCCGATATAAACCGGATAAAAATCTTCTGCAATATATTCCGGGAGTTCTTCTTCTTCAATCTTCCGTGAAGAGTCCAGCTTCACAAAGGGTGTTGTTGTTGACAGTTTGCGGGATCGCGAGACTGATGTTATAGTTATTGACGGTTTAGGGCGCCGTGGATCATAATCGCACAGAGCCGGATATTTGAAGGTTAACAAAGCTCTCAAGCCTCGTCGGCAGATTGACATTTCTGGGTAATCAATAAATGAATACTCAAGTATTGAGCTCGTAAGGATGATTGTTCACAGCAATTACAATTTTCGAACCTTGGCGTGGTAAGCTAACTGTTAGTTAACTAGTTGTTTATCCAGGGTGAGAGTGTTATTTGTTAACACTTAGTTAATACAGCGTGCTCGTTCCGTCGAGGTCCGCTAACTTGAACCTAGGTAGCTACCTTAAGTAGCTGTACAGGGGCCTCCCGTTGTCATGTACCAAGCATATTTACTCATAAAGACAATATCAGTGGAAAAACTGGGGATTTAATTGGGGCCTTAACTAGTAGTTGTCGGCAGATTCCACCGCATGTAAAGTGGACTTGGCTTTATATAGCTAGCAATTGTTTCTAGTTTCCCCGAAATACCGGCAGTTAATAGAGCACAAGATCGTAGAGGTTGGACTCAATCAGTCAGCTTCATCGTCCCACAGGCAGAACATGTCCACCATTGAGACTCCATAAAGGCTCCGCAACAATGGCATACCCACCCCAAAGATCGTTTTGGCTTCGGAGGCTGATTCTTTTCGAGCTCAATAATAGCCTGGACTGCAGATTTGCGAGTTTTCGTCCCACCATGTCTCCCAGATGGATACGGTTGCTTGCCAATCTTTTTTTCCTGGGCAAGCTTTGAAGTCACTTTGGAAGGAGGTGAAAAATTTGCGTCTGAGGTACGCTCGGTAGCGCATACTTCACAGGCAAGGAACAAGGGCTTATTGATAAACGTACAAGTGGAACACGTCCAAGGCTCTATGTCGTTTATATCCGAGTTTGATGAGAAGACGGTACTGTCTGATAATTGAAGTTTGGAAGAAGCTGCCGCAGGGTTCGGTGTTGGGGGTACTAGAGCCCGAGGGCCCATAGGATTCGACGAGCTAGGAGGTGTATAGGAGTCACCATATTGTTCTCTCTCTTCTTGCTGGATAAGATCAATGTAGGCTTCCATAATAGCTTTCTCATTTGCATCTTCCATTTCGGCCTTAGTCCGAAACCCATTTCGAGTAGCCTCTTCTGCAAGTCTATCGCCTTCTATAGTTCCACTTGCACAACCTTTTGTAACTGTAGCTCGCCTCTCGGCAGCATCCGCAAGAACTTTTCGTATATCTGCTCCTGGAAGAGCTGAGGCACCACCTAGTTTCTTGCCAGTGCCAGAAGACAGCACACGCCGCTTTTCTGCCGCGGCACGCGCGAGTCGACGAGCTTCATCCATAGGTATTCGTCTTCCCCCCAGGCGGTGGCCGGCAGATAGAAATCCTTCACCAGTATAACCTCTGCTTAGCAGCTGCTCGTGTTCATCTCGAAGTTGATTCCATAGAGCATGGAACTTTTGATCATGTGGACCATGAACTATATGACATAACCTAGTTACTATCAGATTTGTCTGCTTCTTTTTATTTCCAGGGTATTAAAAGCTTTAAAATGACAACTTACTCATGAAGCATAGTGTCAACCACTTGTTCTATTGGAAGAAAATGCCTTTCATCGTATGGCTGCCTTAATCGAAGACATATTTTCTGTCCGTGGTTCACGTTTAACCCCAGTAGATTCTGGGTAGAAGGGTAAAATTCACAGAGAGTCCCAACCTTCCACATCCGCTGCCGCATAATTGGCTTAACCATAGAAGCAACTTTGCGTAGGGTTAATAGTGCTTCTGCTTCACGAGGTCGGTGTTTATCATGTTGAAACTCCGAAACAAGAGGGTCAAGCTCCCTCATCCTGTTTCCCTGGGATATTCGATCACACTAGATAAACAGGCTGCGGGGATAGTGCGACTACTAGGAGAAGGTATTATATCAACTGTTGAATTTATGAAAATGATGCTCCAAATGCTAGATAATCTCCTTCGCAAGCTAAAAGATTTGTAGCGAATATACAGGGTATCAAAAAGCT